TCGTGTGAACAGCATCTGTGTCTTACAATGTAAACACTATGTTCATATGGTGTGATGTTTTTCAATGTCATACCGTATGACATCGTCACGGGTTCGTGTGAACAACGATTGTGTCTTTCAATAAAAACAAGTTGTTCATATGGTGAACATATATGAACATAGACTGCAAGAGATGTACAGATATGAACATTTTCAAAATCAATGATCGTTGTGCATGTGTGCAGATATAAACATAGACTGCAAGAGATGCACAGATATGAACATTTTCAAAATCAAGGATCGTTGTGCATGTGTGCAGATATGAACATAGACTGCAAGCGTTTATCATCTTCATTATTCTGACATTCTTTTACAATAGGATTCTCCATGTATCTTGAACGAAAYRAAAAWYTTGTACACTTAGACAACCAATTTCAATATATGTATAAAATCAATTGAAATGAATATCATGAATATGAAATAATAAAAAAAATCATAAAAATCTCATGAGCAATTAGATGTATCTTTTAAGATTTGTAACTCCCAATTAATTATTGGGGGTTACAAAAAGGTTGAATTACCAAATTACCTTTATCATTAATTTATAATTTAGATTTGAACCTAAAGTGAAGAAAGAATGTGATTGGTCAAGATCGGTTTCCATAGTTTGTACCATATGGTTGGTTTCTATTTGAACCAACCTCTCTCTCTCTCTCTCTCTCTCTCTCTATATATATATATATATATATATATATATATAGGTGGAGGTTCAAACGAGAACACTTTCATTTAATACGTGTGAGGGGACCCTAAGATGTGCAGACGATGTGTTCTACGACTTAGGTCACGCCAAATGTTGTCTGTGTCTATGATTTAGTATCACATGTGATGGTTTTGATGAATTATAGTATCATATCAACAACAACCTTATCACTTGTGAGAGGACTTAGTGGTATAAGGGCGACTTGGCCCACAACCAAGATCGCATCGAAAATCGTCCGCGTCTCTGATTTAGTATCACATGTGACGGAATAATAGTATTACATGTGATTGTCTATAGTAAAAGGGTGTTCTCATGTTCTCGTAAAATGAAAATGTTCTCGTTTGAACTCTTCCCTATATATATATATATATATATATATATATAATCTATTTTCTTCTGTCTAAATATAGTATTTAATGTATTGATTAACATATATTTGTTTCACAATATGGTTATTTCATATGTATTCGGTTCACAAAATGAAACTTTTTTACATGTATTTTTTGTTTCACAAACAGGTCAAAAATATTCACATTGTGAATCGAATACATGTGAATCAAACACGTTGTGAAATAAATATATGTTAATTAATATTTTAAATCATAGTATTAGATGGAAAAAATCATATGAAATAACACATGATAAACAAGTTTTTAAGGTTATCACAATTTTATGGGTTTTTAAAAGAAAGTTCTTAAAGGTGCAACTTTACAAGAATGCTCCTAATACATCACAACACCATCTTCTTCCTCTGGATTTTTTTAATCTAGCCTAACCGATCATATCTCTCAAGCTATATTGAAAACCCTTTTAACATCTGTTACGGGCCGTTTACTAAACACTTACTCGACATGTGCTTACCGGATAAATTTCTTTACTGAATGAACATGGCAGGAGTCAAAAATCTTACCTGGTAAGAGAAATGATAAAGATGGAGAGTCTTATTCGGTAAGTGAGGATGACGACTCTTATACGGGTAAATTATTGCATACGATACCCTTTTGATGTACTACAATCTTGTCTGGTAAAATAAATTATAATACCCTTTTTAATAATTGATGGGGACATGATAAATGGGCCGAGGTCCATCATTGCAAATTGTCTACAAACTAATTGGTCCATGGCCCATGGGCTTTGTCTTCAAAAGTATCTGGCCCATAAATATAAATATATAAAAAATGACAGTAAGGGAGTGTTTGAGATTGCTTATTTGAAACAACTTATATTTTTCAATAAAATTCTTTATCAACTTATTATAAGTCGGAATGGTTTAACTTCTTCAAAAATTTCTTATTACCGGTTTGTCACCGGTATAAGCTGTTTATCCAAACACTCAAAAGTGCTTATTACCAGTGCCATATCGGAATAAGTCAATACGTTGTTTTTATAAGCAATCCTAAACACCCCCTGAAATAAAACCTAGGGTTCGAAATCACGGTTAATATTAAGATTGAGATGTAACAAAACTGAGTGGAACACAAATATTTTTTTTTTGTCACATCGAAATTAATGAAACAAAAATCAAGAAGATAAGATAAGATCAGTTAATTATTAAATTGCATTTGTAAAATTAGAACCTTAAAACGTTATACAGATTTTCCATCTATATGTTTCACTTTCATTTATCCTGTACTGTCTACATTCCAAACTCCATAAAGAACTTTGTGCTTACACTCTATGTCCATTGACCAAGGTGGTAAAATTGGGCTTTGTAGGGCTTAAAACTTTTATTGGGCCCAAACCCATTTGTGCATAATAATATAGTAGGTTATAAAAACTTGTTGGCTTTTTTTTAGTTTTTCTTGTTGTTAATAAAATCATTATTGATTTGATATATCAGTCAGATGGGATAACTCAACTGGTAAAATTTTTAATTTGTACTTTTAGAAATCAGTTGTTCAAGTTTTTATTTTTTTTTGGCTAGAGATCACCAATTCAAGTCTCGTCAAAGTCATCATAGGGTTTGCTTGACCATTAATTTCAAGATTTTAATGGGATTCGTTGAGATATGCTCAAATTGGTCCAAACATACCAGGTTAGAAAAACACTTTTGTGTTATTTGTTTATTTAATAAAATGTTGAAGTTTGAAGTCTTATTTCACTTTTTGTTGAAAATAGATGGTGTTGAAGTCTGAAAATATAATTAATAAGACTGTTTGTTTTTACACATTGATAAATGTCTGAATATGTAAGTAAAATCAAAGTTAACGATATTAATAAACTGATCAAAAATAATATCATAGTAAAACGTGTTGGTATTTTCTTACGAGTATTATGTTTTGTGCTACTGAGATTTGTATATTTAAGGTATTCTCAGATTTCACATGTTACATCGTCATGATACAAGTCGTAACAACTTTTTGTTTTGTTTTTGTTTTAGGCAAATAACAGACGATAAATGGCTAACAAGACACAAATTTATCTCGTCTAATAAAAAGATGGTAAGAGATTTTAAACTCTTGTCACACATACAAAGAAAGAACCAGTCTCGTAAATTTAAGGTTACTTTTTTAGCAGCTTAATGAGTTTAGTGAGACTTTCAACTTATTAGATCAACTATACATGACTGCTTGTTAGAAGCTTCAGTGGCGGAGCCAGTAGGGGGCTAGCTGGTGCCAAGCCCCTGCTAACCGTTTTATCTTAATATTATACTAGTTGTGTACCCGCACAATGTGGCGGGAGCCATGAATTTTAACGATTTTGAAGTTCCACTAGTTTTATAAGATAAGATTTAACGATGATATATGTTACACTTGGTCTTTACATATTAATACAATTTGAATAAATAAGAGTTATGATTCCAATTACAAACTATCGATGAAAAAAATTGTATGACGGTTTAAAATCCAATATATTTAAAATCCAATATATTTAAAATCCAACATATTTAAACGACTCCACAAATGTATTCGATTTACAACAAAAGCAAAGAACCAAGAAACTTGACTTTTAAGATAAACACTCAAAACCAATATAGAAAACTACAAATTTGACATATCATAAGCCATGAAAAGACCAAAAAAGATGGGTTTTAGAATGAAATTTCTACTGCTTACCTTCTTTCTTGTCCAGAAACTCAAATTAAGGTTGAATTAATACATGTATATATATATATATTTTAAAAAAACCCAAAAACATATTAATTCAAAACATATTATACAGTGCAATTTGGACAGCCTAACCCCAAAATATATAGTATATATATAAATAAATAAATATAAAAGTATAAATCGTAAATATTAAAAATATTTTTTCACAGTATATATAATATATAATAATATAATTAAGTCAAAAACTATTCAATATTGGACTCATTTCGAAGGTATTAACGAGACGATTATAATGGTGTAACTTGTTAAAATAAAAATGTATTTTTTAAACATGTTTTAATTGATATACGATTATGTATATTAATTTGATAAAGGTTTAAAATGAAACATGTAAAAGTAAAGGACGTAAAGTAAATTAATTAATTAATTATAGGGATATAAAATATAAATTTAAAATTATAATTTAAAAAAAATGAGTGTATGTAAGGGGGTGAGTGTATGTGAGGAGACGAAGGGATGAAAAAGTGATATAAAGGGTATCTTGGTCATTTAGTATTTTAAGACTTTAAGACTTTTGTTAAATTTGCTTTATAAGATAGTATAGATAATGAAAATATAATATTCTAGCTACGCCTCTAGGAGGCTTCATGATATAGAAAATGACTTATTCATTAAGCTTCAAGGAGGAGCTTTATGCTATTATTATCCAAAAAAAAAAAAAAAATTCATACTTTTCAAAACAAAACATCTCAGACAAATTAATGCATACAAACAACTTTATCCATATAAAACTTAATGTAAAACCCAAAGAAATATTCTTTAAGTTTTTATACAATAAAACATAAGTGATGACAAACGATTGCATCCTTCTTCTTAGCATAACATTGTATGACATAGTAAGATAATAACGGAGCGGAGCTGTTTGGAGAGCGAACTCTTAATGTCGATCAGGTGTACTGACTTAAAAACCAGTAAATCGCAGTTTCAAGAAATAATATCTTCTACCCAGAAATTCATCGAGGAAACAGAAGCCATTTTGAAAGAAGCTGTATCGAGATTTTTATATTTCATAGGCACAAAAGTCACCTTTACCTAAATTTGCAAAAATATGGAAAGTTTAAGGTGCAAAGTTGTAATACTTTAAAACTTGAAGGGGAAAATATGCAGAATGATAAACCTCAAAACTTCCACTTCACTCAAAGTCAAGCAGCCATAGAGATTCATTTCTCTTGGGTCTCTTCTGGTCACACTTCCAAGTTCCAACTGCTTCTTCAGGGTATCCCGGAAGATAAAACCCTCCGATTATCTCTCCGATCAAAATATTAATTCTTTCTGTGTTCGAATCTGAATCTTCGAAATGGCTGAAGGATCAAAGGAACCGACAACAAGTTCTGTTAGTCAACATGATATTATTGTTGAGGATACCGAAGACAGCGTCAAATCTCCCCCAAATTCTCCCAATTCTTCCACTCGGAAGGTTTATCTCTTTCCTGATCGTTTTTTTCCGTTATGAATTGTTTTGGTTTGCTTTTTGTAAATCGATAGTTGTTCTGGAATTTATGAGATCCGAATTAGTTGGTGGAATTCGAGTACAGTGGTGCAAAGGACTGGTTTGGGTTTTCTGAGATTGTTAATTATAGGTTTATGAAGGCTAAGTATTTGGAGGTTAATCAATCATTTTGCTTGATGTTGCCATTCTAGGTATTTTTGAATTTGCAACATGAACTTAGTACGTAACGACTGATTAACCCTTAAGAAGTCATCCGTAACATTTATTTTTTCTTTTTCATTCTATAGATCAAAGGAATTAACAAGAAATGCTTGATTTTTTCAAATTGGAATGTCGATGGCAACTCAAAAGGAGAAGAAAAGAGAAAAAGAAATAAAAAAAAAACATTGTTGTTATATCATCATTGGGAGTATGTTGGAATTTGCAACATAATGATACGAAGTCATCTCTTACAATTTGATACTCAATTTCAACCCAAAAGAAAAATAAACTAATGGCGTGAAATATCCTTGCGAGGAATTGTTAGCTTGAAGTTTGAGTGAATTCAAACCCATGACTTTATTCATTTTCCAATGTTGTTGTTTGATAACTGTCATTGTAATTTTTTTCTTAAGGGCATTACGATGTGCATAAAATATTTGAAGTTGGAAATTTCTTTTTACAATGGTGAGTGTGAATTATATGTGTATTGGTTGACCAAAATGTTATATTGTGTTTGATGGTTCTTAAGTTAACATAGGCTTGTGCCCTGGAGCCACATCCCACATAACATTAAAGATGTTGAGTAACCCTCAGAATGATAGTTCTTCTCCAAAATCATTAGCATCTATGTAGCCACTATGGTCAAGTACCCCTGCATTCATTACTTGGCTATTGATTAGTTAAGCCATGGTTTCCAATGTGCAAGTCACAGAGGAGAGATGAGCCTTTATGTTGCCCAGTTGGGTTTAGCAGTAGACAGTTGTACATAAATCTGGTATATTAGCAATATGTATACAGTACACGTTCTTCTCTTCCAAATCATAACATTCTTTGAGATTTATAAAGGAAAATTTCTCATATTTTAGAAGCAATGGAGCGTTATATGTTTCATTGTCAGTTTATTTGGTTTACGTGCTTGATGGAAAGGGGGAATGAAGATATAATGTTTGATAAACAATCATATATCCGCTGGAGGGATCCGTCTGCAAATTTCTTTAAATTGTGGAGAGACCATTGCTCATGTGGGGTTCAAGGGATTTAGTGGATTGAATCCTGTGGGCTACTACTCTATCCAGCAGCATCTTCAAATCATCCTATAGAAACATGCGAGAAAATACTTGGGATGACTGTGGAATTCATTTGTCATTTCCTATGGCAGTTTTGAGGCTATGATCTCTTTGTTATAGACGAAAGCTGAATTTAAGCTTTCCCCGACAGCAAGCCTATATGTTGGCAGGGTCATTACTCAATAGCTTGTCTTAGGTCCTTGTCTCCCCATAAGACAATCTGCATGTATGTGAGTGTGTGTGTGGATAAAAGGATACGGTGTTGCTAATTTATAGAAATGAATCCATTTACTAAAACTGCTTTTGTAATTATTTGACTTTTAGTGATATCTTGTTGCTCATAAATGAGATCTCAGCCCCACACATGCAAGTACATACACAACTGAAGATCTAAGCCCCACAAGTTTTTTCATATATGTGTGCATTTGTCAATGTTTGATGCTTGGTTTAAAAATGCGCGCATTATGCGCTCTGATGCGTGATGCGCTCTGATGCGCTGGACAGAACGCATCAA